GAAGAAACTGGAGAAGATTCATTATCAGACCAGTACTGTAAAAGATTATTCCTAACAAAGGTACAAAAAGAGTTGCTATTCAAGAACGAGGTATTAAATCTCCAGATGGGAGTCCTCACAGTATTAATTATAGATTCAAATTTTAAATAAATAGGGGCATGGAAGGGCAATTGAACCCATAGAGCAAGACAGAACAGAATGTAGATAGGTTTTTGGGATAAAAAAAATAATCAAGTCTAGAATATGAGTTATGAGGATGTGAATAAAAAGAGAAGTCTTTTACTTTGGGGTTCAGCTGACGCCACACATCGACCAACCCAATATCTGAATATAATTCTTTAAGAGCAGAGGAGGCTTTGGGGTTGGATACATGTGTGCCATGGAGGATTTGTCCTAACCAGCATCCATTATGCAATTGAAATCGCCAGCCAGCAAGCCAAGACCATCACAATACTGACTAAACAATAAAATGACTTCGCAAAATAAAGTTAGGTGAATCATTATTAGGGGCATAGACATTGAGTATGGTTATAAGTTGGCCAGCAATTGAACCTTTAATCAGAATAAATCTACCTTCCAAATCTCTTTCCTCACATAAAAGGGTAAAGGGGAGTTTCTTATTGATAAGAACGGCTGTGCCCTTTTTGTTCTGTGAATGAGAAGAAAAATAAACATTGCCCACCCAGTCTCTTTTTAGTTTCAGATGTTCCACATCAGATAGCCTAGTCTCCTGGAGAAGTGCAATATCAGCTTCTTGCTTCTTTAAAAAAGTCAAAATTTTCTTCCTCTTGATTACATGGCCTAAACCCTGGACATTCCAGGAAATGAGATTAAGTGGCCGAGGCATACTGGCTTAAGGTACTATAAATGGTGTTAGAGGGAGATGAATGAAATACTGAGACCAAAAAGAGACATAAAGAGGAGAAAACCAAGATTATTGTGGAGCGACTAAAGAAAAGACAAAACAAAACCCCTTGACAAGCAAGGGGTTTTGCTTGTCAAAACCCCTTGCTTTTGACAAGGGGTTGTGATCCGTCTGCTTTCCTGCCTCCAAAAGGCAGGAAATAAACATCCCAAAAGAAGTCACCATAAAACCTAAGTATAACTTCACAATACTGTATATAAACAGTGTGATCACAGAAACAAACAGGACACCCAAAAACCGCATCAGTGCCCCAGGATGAATATTGAACACCACCTACAGTCCTCTCTCCACAGACAATTGAAAAATAAAATGTAAACAAAAATATAAAAATATTGGTAACAAAGTGAAATAATATTGATGCCTGAATGAGCGAATAAAAGTCCAATATTAGCATCAAAAACTTTTTTTAATAACTTCTTCCAAGAAAAAAACAAAACAGGCATTGTGCAAATTGCACTGCTATCAGTAATACTATCTTTAACAGACTGAAGACTCTGAAGCGGCTAAATAATGCAGAGTCAAAATAAAACCTGTCAACATTGCCAAAAAATGCACGTATAAAACTCAACATTCAAAGGCAAAAACAGGTTCCATTACAA